CAAATGTGCAAAATCCTACCACATTCATGACCATGTTTCCTGTTTAATAGTTAACACATATGTCTAAAAACATACCCCACACACATATACCCAATGCATATTCTACAATGCAATATATACTTTGGTATAATAAAACAGTGCAGTGATGTGTGGAATGTTTGTGATTCGTGTAATTTAAGAAAAACAAATATCATCTTTGAGGCAGTTGGAGAATTTCTAACATGTACCAGATACTGAATGATATTAATGATTTATTATCCATTAATTTAAGTATAATTATGATAAAATTTACTTAAAATTAATATGCATTATCAGTAGAAAATAGGTGCAAAGGTATACTGATAGCATAACAAAAATTGTCTTAACAAATTTCCAACCAAACAAGCTGTAGTGACAGAAAAGGAAGTTTGCAGAAGGCAGAGATGAGAGAGGAGAATGACGGATGGATCTTAACACTTTTCATACTACTCATGTATACAGATTTCATAAATTCTCAAATAAAAAAGCAAAGAAAATGAGAACCAAAGTAACTCATCAATTCGGTAGACCAACATATAAAGACAAAGATTAATGTGTTGATAAATTTTGAAAAGATGCAATATAAAGCCTGAGATTTAGCTCAGTAGTGTTGCACCTGCCTAGCCAGAGCAATGTGCTCAGTTTAATCCCCAGCACCAGGGAAAGAAAAAGAAAAAAGAACACACACAAAAAAAAAAGAAAAGAGAAAAGGAGACTATGTGCTTTCTAACATACACAATAGATTGAAAATGAATTATTTGTTATCTCTTCCTCTTGAATTGTTCCTTTCACAAGGATATAGTGCCCTTCTTTGCTTCTTTTAATCAGTTTAGGTTTGAAATTTACTTTGTTTGTGAATAAGATTGCTACTCCTGCTTTTTTCTGGGCTTCTGTTGTATGAAGTAGTTTTCTGTCCTTTTACTTTCAGTCTATGGGCTTCTTTTGCACTTTGTGTTTTGTAGACAACATATTGTTGGATTTTGCTTCTTAATCCATTTTGCCAGTCTATTTCTCTTGATTGGTGAATTGATGCCATTAATATTGATGGTTATAACTGATATGTACTAACAATATTGTCATTTTTTTTCACCTTCTACTTTTGGTTTCTTGCCTTGCCTACTTGATTTGCGCTGCTGAGCCTCATTGTGTTGTGACCTTCATTGTCTTTTTCTAGGATATTGTTTAGAATTCCTTGTAGTGGGGGTTTGTTGTTCATGAAGTCATGGAGAAGGTTGGCTCTTAGCTGGGCCTTGGAAAGCATGTGGAGAGTCAGAGAGAGAGAGAGAGAGAGAGAGGGCAGTGCATCAGGCAAAGGGGGCTGGAGCAGCTCAGCTCTGTTGAAGGCCTCCTGGTTTTGCTGCGATTTATTCATTCATTTATTCATTGATAGCATCACAGTGTTGGGAATTCATGCAAGAGGGGAGATTACAAGGCAAGGCAGAAGCCAGAATGAAGGAAGGGATCAGCAAGGACTTCCCACCGGGCTACACCTCTTAAAGGTGCCACTGCCTCACCGGTGACAAAACGCCCAAATCATGAATCTTTGGGAACCCTGAGGGTCACAATCAAACCATAGTATCCAAACTGTAGCATCATCCTACATCATTTCTTTTCTTTCTTTTTTTTTTTTTTTTTTTTTTTTTTTTTTT